ACAGTTGCTGGGTAAGTGAACCAAGGCAAGGCTTATGCTGAACATGGCTGTTCACCCATGCACATGCACCTCTCACATCGAACTAAGGTCAGACCCAGGACTTATTTCTTTCCCTAGCAAGTAGGAAAGAGCCAGGCATGCAGTAGGTCTGCAATAAATATTTCAGAAGTAAAGAATGACTCTTTCCACTCTCCAAGCAAGTCATTGTTTTTTTTTAAATTGTGCATTATAGTTGTACATAATGGTGGGATTTGTTGTTACATATTCATACATGCACATAGTATAACTATAATTTGGTCAATATCATTCCTCAGTATCTCTCCTTTCCCTTGCAAGTCATTGTTTTAAATAAAATCAACCACATGGTCTCTCTCTCTCTCTCTCTCTCTCTCTCTCTCTCTCTCTCTCTCTCTCTCTCTCTCACACACACACACACACACACACATCAGACAGACAGATTTTATATATATATATATCCTGTGAAATATTTGTTTCTAAATTGAGAGAAACACTATCATGAAGTCTCTGTGTAGTCAAAGGTAATCAGGCACTTACAGAGCTCAGTGTGGTAATGGGGAAAAACATAATTTCCTGTGGTTTGACAGTAATGTGACAGGAATAGTTCCCACTGCTTTGAATAGTTCGTGCACATAGCTTGTCCCTCTCCATTGACACATCAAGCCATTGAATCCTAATAAACAAATGTGACCCTCACCCAGGCAGGTGCTATATTTAGGTATAACTTCATGTGGTCCTGACTTTGCTAGGTTCTCTAAGGAATTTCAAAATTGAGCAACCATTTCTGCTCCCCACAATCTTATGGTCTAACAGGAGAGAAAAGGTGAACAGGGGAAAGGTGAAGATTGAGAAATAAGTGTTTTTCCTGGAAATTCAACATCTAAATCACAAAATCCCAACAAATGATAGATTTTCCAAAGGCTATCAGTCCAGTTCATTCCAGGATCTTGGGCATTCCTCAGAAAGGATTGTGAAAATATAACAGGCAAGTGTTATTTCCAATCTTTAAATGCTGATTAAATATTTTATTTCATTGTGAAGGATCAGTTGGTTTCAATTACACGTCACTCACTAGAGCTTTGGGAGGATTTGAATGTAATCATTATTGATCCATGTGGAAAAATGTCCAAACTAAAAGAAAATATCTTAAAATTCTTTGAGAAATTCAAACCCCTTTAGGTTCATCATGTACCCTAAACCCACAGAGAAATATTTTCTTAGCATTTTCCACTCCATAGAGTTAGATGGAAAGCAGGGCTCACTGACACACATCTGTAATCCCAGCTACTGGGGGCTGAGGCAGGAGGATTGCAAGTTCAAGCTCAGCTTGGGCAACCTGGCAAGACTTTGTCTCAAAATAAAAAATAAAAAGAGCTGGGGATGTAGCCCCTCAGTGGTATAGCACCCCGAGTTCTATCCCCAGTAACCCCTTCCAAAAATAAGGAGTGAGATGGAAAGGACATTTTCTAACTAATGTAGGATACACAAGAGCCAGGGACTGTGTCTTATTTGTAAGTATCTATCTGTGGCAAATAAAATACCTGGCATGTACTAGACAATCAATAAGCATTGGTAGAGTAAACTAATGATCCAGTGCTCTGGCTTAATAATATGAGAATACATAGTTTGCTCTAAGTATTGATTCAAGTCAGCACAACCGAGGACAGTGGTGAGTTAGTGTTCAAAGCTCTTTACTTTAAAAAATATATTTTAAATTGTGCTGCATAGAATGACAGTCACATGTTCAAAGGCACCTCAAAACAAGAATGTTAAATGAAGTCTCCACCAGTCAAGGGGCAAAAAGTATGTATGAAACCATCATATGTGTCCATTACTGTGAGAGGCACTTTTGGACATGAAACAATACATCATGTTTGTTGAACTGTGCCCTCAAAACCCTCAGAAGCTAAGAGTAGGGATAGCACTTGCAAGACAATGTGACTAGAGATCTAAAACACTGTACAAATATCAAGAGAAATATAAACCAAATAAGTACAGGTTTTAGAAACATGTTTTCTTCTCAGTTTACTTCTTCCTACATCTGTGCCTTAAATTTATAATTTAGCCCTTTCTCCTTACATGCAAATAAAATATAGTTGAATTCCAAATTGGTATGTTTAATTCTCACAGACTGCATTGCAAGCCATTCTTAAAAATGTAATCTAAAAAAAAAAAAAAGTGAGCATTTTGGGGAGTGGTGAGGAGGGTATTTTTCTTATTTTCTTGCTAAGCTGGAGAAAGCTACAAGGTAAATGAAGCATTAAATGCCTTTAACCTTATTAAACAATGTTTTAAGTTTACATTCTTGAACTAAGAGAGGCTCAAAGTCTTTTATTTTTAATTTTTGCTTGAAATATGACTTCCAAATGCAGAATTCTTCCTAGTAAGTATGAAAGTTGGCCCCATACATTTAGAAATAATTAAGAAATATATATTTTTGTGTTTTGAGGAATTAGATGCTTCTGTGAGGAATTAAATAGATCTCCCTCATGCACTTAAAGCGACAATACCTAACTGATTATAAGGGATGCAAGAGGCCCGAAAGAGCTGAGAGGCAGCCTGATGTTTGCAAGGCTTTTCATGCCTGCCTGCCGACCACCCCCTCCGCCCCCATGCACACTGAATCGTTGCACACAGCCCAAAAGCTGTGTTGTTCTGAAAGAATAAAAAAGCTTTAAGATTCCAGCCACTGAAAGACCGAAATTCACTGTTGTAATGGTTTGAGAATCTGTGAGATTTAAAAATGAAGACGGTTCTGTCCTAAAGCTGGTTTTAGTAAGCCTCTTGTTATTTTCTCTTGTTTTGTCTTTATCAATTCGAAATTTGCAGAAGTCCCAGACAAAACTGTGTGACCTTCAGCTCTTACTTAAGTTCCTTTGGCCTGTTTCCTCCAGGGTGGAAGATGCAGTAGTGAGGGTCTCCAAATGGAAGATTCTCTCATTCTAATGATAAACTTAATATTCCCTTTGTATCTGTGAAAAATACTGTCAACTCCCAGTTTTCAACTAGCAAGAGCATAAATTCCCACACTGATTCATAAATATCCCCAGCCCTTCTGGGAAGATTCTCCCTTGGGAAGAATAAAGAATCTCCCATCACATTAAAAAAACAACAAACAGGCTCTCCTATCCCCCTACAGCAGTTAACTCCAACAGCTGATGACATAGGCAGACGAGGCTGAATTTCACTGATCTCTCACACCAAGCAGCCAACATTCAGTCATTACTGGATTTCTAATTTTACTTTTTGTTTGCTGTTTTAGTTTTGTCCTCCCAGGAAAGAAAAGTCCTCTCTTTTCATCACTTGATCTCCTGAGTCATCCCTTTCCCTGAATGTTTTTAAACTGAGGAACACTGGAATTGTATTAATTTCTCAAAATCTTTTTTCATCTTTGCACTGTTTGAAAAATGCATGCAACAAAAACCTCTATGGGTCTGTGGCTTGGGCATTTTTCACTGGGCCTATATTCTGCCTTGTAGGTAAGAAAAGAAACTGCAAGCTTACAAGGCCAGCTTCATCTCCCTCCCCACGTTTTCTCCCCTTCAGCAGGCTGGGCCCTTCAGGTTGGCAGCAGCGATACATTTCCCCCCCTTGCAACGCAAATATGGGTTTCTAGCTGATGGTCTACTTGATTGTCTAAACCACAGGTACATGGTTTCCTGTGCATTTCTCAAAAGAAGTGTTAAGCAAAGGAAATGAATTTCAACCACGTTAATAATGATCAAGAATTTGCCCCTCCCTACTTCCAAAGGGTATTTTCCTAAGTCAGCTTTTAGGGAGAAAAGGTTTACCTTTGACATTTGCATTGTACATTTTAGCTTTGCTGATATTGAGTGAACTACTTTTTTTTTTTTTTTTTTTTTTTTTGTACTGGGGATCAAACCCAGGGGCGCTTTACTACTGAGTTCTATTCCTAGCCCTTTTTTTGTAGATAGGGTCTCACTAAATTCCTGAGGCTGCCCTCAAGCCTGTGATCCTCCCGCCTCAGCCTCCGGAGAAGTTGGCATCACAGGCATGCATCACCGTGCCTGCCTACTATCATTCTTAAATGTTGTTTTGGTTTAATAAAATTGCTTTTAAAAACTCTGCACCTTTCCTTACAGAACCCAGGAACCAATTAAGGAGGTTTAAGAATATCTTTTACCCCTAAAAAATTTATTCTTCATTTTCTTCTTGTATGTTGTGGCTTGTAGCAAATGGCGCAAATGAGGTCTTCGCTTTTTCCCACCAGCTAAAATACTCTACTTCAGATGTTTGAGAAATTCTTCAGGTCTCCAAAAAGGCAAGACCTGGTTATCAGTCAATTCCCGCTGAACTTTAAAGTTTGCACAAATGTCTCGTGTGTCCTTCTTATGTCCTTTAAACTCAAACATTCATTATTCAAACCAAGAGGAAGTCCTTAACGGTTAATGCACTTACTTCACAAAAGCAACCTTAAATATTGCCCCAAATTTATTTTTAAAGCAGCTGTTAAAATGCATAGAATTTGTTCAATGCTAATAATTGGTTAAATAACCCAAATTCATTTTGATAGCTGAGCATGTGCTATAAATTGTCATCTTCCATCTTCTTAAGCATAGGAATAAGTTCAGGGTTGGCTTATTGAAGCCCATAAATATTTTAAACTGCATATATATTGCCAAGGATGCCCTCAAACTCCTGGGCTCAAGTGATCTTCCTCCTTCACCTTCCCAAGTAGCAGGGACATAAGTACACTACCTTGTCTGGCTTGCAAATAAATTATTATTAAAGCTTTCATGCAACTCATACTAGGAATTTAATCAGCCCAAGAAAATGTTCTTCATTACTTAGTATACACAAGGTATTTCATGGTCCTGGGTGAAAGCCATATTTCTATGCTGTGAGGGAATTTACCAAATCAGCAGATATTTGTCACTTCTCAGAGGCAGGCCCCCCAATGCAAAGGTTTCTTAAGGTATCAAACCACTCCTTTCAGACACCAAACAAGTCACACAAGCCAGGTTTTAAAACTTTTTATTTGCATATTAAAAAAATTGTGCATTCCAATAATTAAAATCATTTGAACAAAAAAAAATGGCACTCTGATTAAACTGCATTTTACAGCCTGCAGGACACCTTGAAACAGCTTGGATCTTACTCTAGATTTCACCATCCTCCCACCCAATATCTTCCTTCACCAACATGCAAGTTCTTTTCTTTCTCTGCCAGCCAGACAGGCAGATGGGAGAGGCAGGCCTGGCCTTCGTTGTCAGTAGTTCTCGATTTTTTGATGTGAAAAGGGGCAGCACAGTCATTTAAACTTGATCCAACCTCTTTGCATCTTACAAAGTTAAACAGCTAAAAGAAGTAAAATAAGAAGGCAATGCTTGTGGAATGTACAGTGCATATTGGCGGTGCGCGCCTCATTACGATTCGCCTGCTTGCTTCTCCTGTTCAATCGCTGTGACCAGAAAAAGACAAAAGAGAAAAAAAGATGGAGGCTAAGAGGACGCCATAATAATCAATACTTTCATTTAAAACATTTTTGCATTTCACAAAAATTCTACAAGTGGTATGTAAATATTCGATAATAAAATATTTTTAAAAAAATATCAAATCAAAGTACATTTTAATAAATAAATGTATTTGTATATTAATATGGCAGGTTAAATATTCCATTATTAAATCCCTAAAGCCCTGTGTTTGCTGGCTATAAACAATTTTTAATTAACCTTTCCAAACCACATTTATCATCATCAAACTGTCGGCTCCTCCCCCGCACTCCCCCCCCTTCTCCTCACAGCCCCTCCCATCCTCCCACCCGCCGCTCCCGCCCAGCCTTTTCCGAAGATGGGTGGAGGGTGGGAGCTTACTTTCTTTTGAAGGCAGAGGATTTTTCTCTTGCGTTTCTGTCTTCTTCAATTTCGACTTATCGAATTTCTCGATCTCAGCCATATCGGGTTTGTCAGACATGGTTTCGGAGGAAGCTGGAGGTACAAAGCCAAGAGGAAGACTGAGAAGGAGCCACCCACCCTCGCCTCTACCCGCTCAGCAATGCGCTTCTCCCCTCTAAGTTGCAGCCTGGAAACCCCCCCCCCCTTTCCTTGTCCATTCAGGACTAAAGGGATTCCTCTTTCTACAGGGAAAAAAAGATTAAAAAAAAAAAGACCCCCCCCTTCAATATTTCCAAACGTGGGGGAAGATGGCTTCAAGGCTGGATTTTTCCGAGTAATGAAATTGATCATTGCGGAGTGGTAAATGAAAATCCCGTTGAACAAGTAGAGAATAACGAAGCCACTTCCAAGTTAAAATGGGGGAAAATCGAGTAAAAATCCTGAAAATGGAGCCAAGGTGGCAAAATGTGTTTCCATTTTCTGGATGTGATCTCTCCCCAAAGATGCACGGGGTCTCGTTTTCCCCTCTCACAAAGGCGGCAGCTGCGAGCGTCGGACCACCGCCCTACGCGCTTCCTCTGGCGCTCAACAATGCAGCCAGCGGCTCACAAAGCTGCCTCCTCACCACCCCATAAATCAATCCTGATCTGCATTAGGGACAACTAAGCATCCTTTGCTCACACTCCTTTGTAAGAAGGACTTCCAAAATTTAACGATACAGCCCAGACCACACTAAACCTGGACAGCCCAAGAAGCCATCGGAGGCTACGGGGATAAAGAATCGTGGAAGCTCCAGGCTCGGTAGAACGTGCGTTAGAACAAAGGATCGTTCTGTTTCTGAACTCAAAAGACAATACAGAATGCCTTTAAGGGGGGAAAAAAATTAAATTTTCCCCTTAACCTGCACGGCAAGACGCCGGATTTTGAGGGTTTAAAAAAAATAAAAGTCAAGATCGCGTTCCTATTAGCTAGCATCTGGAAGGGTTTAACATCCCCACGGTCCCCAAAACGACCTTCCCGCGGACTCGGATTTAGAGACGCCTTAATAGGGGTCGTAGATGAAGGGGTCGAGTGCTAGCGCCCAGCAGGAAGGATCCCAAGGGACAGAGGAAGGGAAAAAAAGGGCCCGGGGGCTCACCGGAGCAAGACGCCTGAACCACAGAAGTCTGGTCTGCGAAGTGACCGCCGCCGAGTGTCGGGCGGGGCGCGGCGCACGCTGCTATATGGGCGCTCCTATGTAAATGAGGTGATGTCATCCACGAGCCCGCTTAACTCTTTCGCGCCGCGTCTCCGGAACGGCGTCCCGAGGCCTGTGGGGCGTTTGCCACCCTCCCCCACGCCACGCGCACAATGTTCACCCGCGCACCCTAGTACAACGATGGCGGAAAAATAAAATGAGCAAATGCCCATCCTACAAATCTTCTTTCATAATTTATTTTCCTCCCTTACGTTTCATTATATCATAATGAATTTTTTCAACAACGGTCCTAACGGCTACGGCGAACTAGCGCATGGTAACTAAGGACCCTGTTGGTACCTAGGGGTACAAGCATTCCTTTACCGTTAAACTGGCTTTGTTTGCTTCAAGACATCCTTAAGCTAGGGTGCCAGTGACCCTCATACAAGGACCTCGCCCGCTGCAGGGGTACGATCCTGTGACTCAGCTTTTAGACCACAGGAGGGCCTTGTCCCCACCCGGTCCTCGGTCCTCTTTGTCTTCCTCGCCTGTGTTCTCCCTTGACTTGGGTGGAAAGTGAAGAATCCTTAAAGGATTTTTTTTTTTAAGTTTCATCGCTGTGGCATCCATATTTTTAATTGCTATGATTTTTGTGAGCACTCAAATCAAATAACCATAGTATATGCTTGGAGCAAGGTAATTTGAAATTTTATAGAGTACAATGCCTCCCCCTTAAAAAGATAAGTCAAGTTCAAGCTCTGCTATTGACTTGCTGCCTGACAATGAGGAAGTTCTTTACTTTCCTGTTCCTTATTTTCATAAATTATAAAAGCGATTGCTAAGGAGGACCGTGTTGATTTCTGAAGACTACAGTCCCATTATTTCTAATATCCTCAGGTTAAATTAAAAGTTGAACTCCGTGTTTTGAAGGGGACATTTTCAGCACTTGGACATTTCCGAAGTGCATCTGGAAAATGGAAGATTTTAGGTAGAGAGGAACAGCTTTCAAAATGGCACCTGTCTTTGTGAGTAGCAGTGACCCATTTGCTCCTGAAAATTAGTTAGAAATCCCATGTCCTGTGCCTGCAAATGGCTTGTGAAATGAAAAAGGCTCATTACTTATGAAAAGGCCTCCTTGTGATTATTTCTGAGATTCATAGCAGTGTACAAAATATTTCTTCTCCTTTTCTGTGTCCTGAGGAAATGTTTCAGAAACCCTGCGCTATTCACTTTTATGGTAGAGGCTTTGGATCAGCATCGATTATTATATAGACACTTAAATGTCACAGTAAGAACAGTTAGGACTTCCCCATTTCTTGTCTACTTGACTTCCCTTTTCCTGGGGAGGAAGGGGGTGGGGGTTGAGCAGGGCAGGTGACCGTCTGGTTCCCCAGTTAGTACTCTGCTAGGTGACTGGCTGCCTTCCTGTCCTACAAAAGGGGCCCAGGACCTGTTTCTGTATGCATCAGATGTCACCTCTCTGGTAACACGTTCATATCATCATTACCCTATGTTGACTGGCCTGGGAGTCTACTTCATTGTTGGAACACAGAAAAGATCGTACACAGTGACTTTTTGGCCTGTTCTACTGGCAGCTGCAGTCACCATTTCTGTCAGTCCTGTGATTCCATTTCCTCTCACCCAGCTGCTGTAGTAAATTCTGTTTTTCCTCCCCACGCCTCCTGAGAACAATGGAATGCCACTATCATCTCCTTGCTGCTTCTGCAAGGACTTTGCCTTAGAAGGGCTACCCCTTACAGAAGCCACGTGTCCAAAAGAGATGGAGAAGCAGAAATTTGCACACATCTGGAGAAATTTTCTAGTTGGTTACAAACAGCCTTCCATTGTGTGTAGATATTGATAGAAAGAGGACCAGTGGGTAGGTAGAAAGGGAAAACGGGAGGCAGCTTGCTGAAGTTGTAATTGGCCTTGACTTGCCAATCAGTCAAGGGAATGGAAAGGGGAGGGTGAGGTAAATAAAAGGAAATGCAGACGAAAGGAATACTCTTAAACGTTGTGTGAATCTAATCATATTAATCAATTGTTCTGACCTGAATTTTCTCATCTGTAAGATGGGTTAATCTCAGTATTTACCTCCTGTGGGTTGTGGGAGGATTTAGTGCTTGGGACAATGTGAGGCTCTGTTAATTAATAATCTCTTTGTACTATTATTATTATTTTGTGGTACTGGGGATCAAACCCAGAAGTGCTTTACCACTGAGCTACATTCCTAACCCTTTTTGTTGTATTTTGACACAGGGTCTCAATAGGTTACTATGGCTAGCCTTGAACTTACTATCCTCCTGCGTCAGCCTCCTGAGCAGCTAGAATTATAGGTGTGTGCCACTGTACTTGGCATATCATTATTATTATTTAGAATGGAAATTTGAGAAGAAAATAAAATAATGTATGTTTTGGTATTTGGAATTAATTAAAAATTTTAGATCTTCTTTCATAGAAATTTATGTATCCTATTATATAGTATTTCTACATAAATAATGTATGGCTATATATTGTTTCTCTGGTAAAGTATCAATAAAATGTGACCTTGTATTAGTTTTACAGCAAATAAAAAAAACAACATTCCTTGCTTGATGACTTCCAATAGTCAGTCTCCCAATGTAATAAGAGATTTACATTCATTTTCTTCTTTCATGCCCAATAAATGAGGAGAAATTTACAGATGGAGAAACTGAGGCTTCATCATTGGGATTACCCAACAGGTAGTCACTCTCTATTATTTTTGCTAAGGAACTCATAAAAGCCTCCACCTCTAGCCCCTGAGCCTATACCTGAGGACCACCAGAAAAATGAGAGAGGACAGGCTGCTGTTTTCCAAAATGCCTAGTAGATAACACTTGTTCAATAAGTATTTATTATACTGCTTTCTGTTGACTTTCTTAGGTAAGGAAGGTTCTTAAACCCACCTCCTGAACCTGTGGCTTTAATAACCTTGCTTTCTTCTCTAGGGAGTTAAATCCACTTAGTATCCACGTGCCAACCTTAGGGAAGCACCATTTATAAGTGAGTTAGGATGTGCTGGCCATAACCTTGGGTGGGAGTTTTAAATCCTTATTTGAAAGACAGAGACAGAGAGAGGCAAAAGAATTGCCTACTAACTAGGCTTTTTGGCACACACCTGTAATCCCAGCAGCTTGGGAGGCTGAGACAGGAGGATCATGAGTTCAAAGCCAGTCTCAGCAAAAGCAGGGAGCTAAGCAACTCAGTGAGACCCTGTCCCCAAAATACAAAAAAAAAAAAAAAAGAAAGAAAAAAGAATTGCCTAACAAAGGTGCTTGATGACTTCAGGTTGCACAATGTGCTCTGACTTCAGGGCTCATCAGGGAAAGATACAGGGAAAGACAAACAAGAGTCCATGTGGCAATTGCCCTGCCTTCCTGGGCTCAGGGCCTCAGCGCCCTATGAAGAACGTGCAACAGAACCCACATGGAAGGGTGGCCCCACCTTCAAGCCAGTGTCCCCTGGAATCAGGAAGAAGGGTCAGGAGACACTGTTTTATTTTGCTTTCCAGGGAGGGCTGAGGCCAGAGTTGGGGCTATTTTCAACTACAGGGAAATAGCCATTGAAGTCAGCATTCATGAAAATGATTTCTGTTATTTTTAATCTATTTCATTTCATGCACAGCACTTACCAGAACAAGAGGAGAAGGAAGAAGAAGAGGAATGGAAACACATGGGGACAACAGCAAATGTCCTAACTTTGAATTCTCAAGCCCAGGTCCCTTTGTCTGGGTTCAAGGCCTCCTAAGTCTCCCCCACCTGCCCACAGCCACATTCCCCTGGGAGCCCTGCAGTCTCCATCTGTTCTTTCTGGTCTCCTTTACAACACAGCCTCCTTCCACCAGCTGGAATCTAAATCCCCTTAAAAACACAGCCCGAGTCCCCGTTAATAACAGGGAGTGGAAAGAAGAAAAGAGGAAAAGGATATTTAGCGCACTGGCTAGATTTGTACCCTGGGCTAAGCCCTTTTATACAATGTCTCAGTCAATTCTCATCCCGCATACTGTACTAATCTGATTTTATTGCTAATGAAACTGAGGCTCAGAGAATTTAAGTGACTCGCTCTAGATCAAACTCCAGTTCTATTTTACAAGTCTCCATCCCTTCCACTGAGACCCATCTCTGCCTTCTGGTTAGCTGAAATAGGTCTTTCTCCAGGATTACCACCATGTCAGCTCCACGTTGTTCTCAGTACCCTGGAACAAAGGGCTCCCCTGTGAATGTGAAAAAAATGACTGGAGATAACGGGGAAGCCAAGAAGAGTCCAAGAACACCCGGTCAAATGTTGAATGTGGTGCTGCAATTGTCCTGTTCCTGTTATTGATCTGATGGAATCTCAGAGCCAGTTTCCTTTCTGTGGCTGGAGTTCGCCTCGGCAACATCCCCTCCAAGTGGTTACTCAGCCTACAAACAGCCAAGGGATGATTTCAAAGGCAAAGAATATTTGAGTTATACAGGGGGCAATGAATCGCTCAGCTTAGCAGGGACTTGCATAGGATGAGAGGTGACAGGAAATAATGTTGAGAGGCAGGCAGGGCCAGGTTGTAGAGTAATAATAATACCAATCAGGGCATAATTATAGCAGTGATAATAGCAAGCTTTTTTTTTTTTTTTTAGTTCCTTCCACACACTGGGGAGCTTTCCAATGCAGGATCTCCCTAATCCTTATATAATGGAGGACAGAGGCTCCTTTATTTTCCTCACTTTGAGATAAAGGAACCCTAGGGAGATTAAGCAACCTACCCAAGGCCACACAGTGGCAGGGCTTGAACTCTGGCTGGTTTGGAATCTGCCTCCTTTAAATACTACATTTTTTTTCTAGAAGCCTACAGTCTGTCGACTTTGTTCTATAGGCTTGATAGAATGAAACTATAGTCCATCTTCATAGATCATCCAGTTTAATGTCATTAAAAATTTAAAGCAGGGCTGAGGGTGTAGCTCAGAGGTAGAGCACATGGTTAAAATGTTTGAGACCCTGAGTTCTATTCCCAAAAACAAAACAAAAAAAATGGGG